GTAGCCTAAGCAGGCTATATAGATGATACCTCAGCAATGACAAGCCTTGGTTCCTTTTTTCATTAGTGAAGTCTATGGAGTGATAATTCATTTTACTAGGCTGTAAATTTAGGATAAGCAATTGTACTGTTTAAAGGTTGCTTTTATTGGCAATAAAACATAGCATTATGACAGAGCAAGACACACCCAAAAGCCAGGAACTAAGAAATGCTTTATCTTCCTGTACTTGAAGTTTGCCTTCTGTTCTAACACTCTAAGCCAGCAGTGAGGAATTGAGGGCCACATTCTGTTCTGAACAACTTTCTGGGGCCAACATGCCAAATGAGCTTTTACTGATAAGCATAACAGGAGTTGGACTTCCTGGGATTTGTATTCTGCTCCTAATGTCATCTGCTTAGGAACTGGGAAGGAGACAAGTTCCCTCCCCGTATAAAAAAGAGGAATTGAACCTATTAGAAGCTTATTTTTTATCTGACCCTTATGCTGTAGGTAGAGTATGTTTTCCTGTAAGTATACCTGCTTTCCATCAGAGAATTTGGAGTTCTCTTTTTCTGAGACTCTCCAGTGATCACTGATTGTATGTGCACAAATAAAGCTTACATGCAGCTGAAGATGTATTTTCCTGCGTGCATTTTAAAATGCACAACAGCACTGACAGGTGGATTCAGATGCAAAAAGCAGGTGGATCTACACATGTGAGGGCATACCATACATTTAAAGTCAAAACAAAACAAAATTCCTTCCAGTAGCACCTTAAAGACCAACTAAGTTAGTTCTTGGTATGAGCTTTCGTGTGCATGCACACTTCTTCAGCATCTGTTTTGTTTTGTTTTGACTATGGCAGACCAACACGGCTACCTATCTGTAACTCATACATTTAAAGCACATTCAACACACAAGATTCTTCCCCCAAAAATCTTGGGAACTGAATTTTGTCAGAGGGGCTGGGAACTGGAGCTCTGTGAGAGCAAAACTACAGTTCTTGTGATTCTTTCTTTTTTTTCCGGAGGAGGGATCATGTTCTTTAAATGTGCACCTGATGTCCTTTAAATGGATCTGCCGTTGCTTTTGCATTGTGAACTGCATTGCGGATGAGCAAGAGTCATATTTCTAACTAGGCAAGCAAGAGGCACTGTTACAATTCAAGGGCACATTCCAGCCCGACAAAATTACATCAGGAGGACAAAGCAGGACAAGTGAGGCTTGTGGTTGGGTGGGGAAGTTGTGGCCTGAGGATAGTCCCAAGTGCTGGACAGAGGGGTACATTTGTCCCCAGTGGGCTGTCAAATTTCAGTGACACAATGTGCAACATTTGGTGCCTCCCACCTCTCATCCTCTGTTCTACACTGCACTGTTGTGGCGCCCCCTCAGCACAACACCCCTCGGCACAACACTGCAGGTGAACCAGTCACACTACCCTAAAACTGCCTCTGTTGCCTCCTAGGCTTGAGCCTCCCTCGCTTTATGCATTATTTCAGCATAGCTCATATCAGTCTTTTATTCTACACAGACACACACACCCCAGTACTACGGCCCTCAGTCAATATCCTTATTGGATTTGAAATTGTTTTTATACACGTAACTTCTTAATCTGTTTTTGTATGCATAACAGTTTTTAACTCTTTTATACAGTGGTACCTCGGGTTAAGTACTTAATTCGTTCCGGAGGTCCGTACTTAACCTGAAACTGTTCTTAACCTGAAGCACCACTTTAGCTAATGGGGCCTCCTGCTGCTGCTGCGCCACCGGAGCCCGATTTCTGTTCTCATCCTGAAGCAAAGTTCTTAACCTGAAGCACTATTTCTGGGTTAGCAGAGTCTGTAACCTGAAGCGTATGTAACCTGAAGCATATGTAACCCGAGGTACCACTGTATATGCAATTGTTTCATACAGATTTTTATTGGGTTGTGAAATCGCTTTGAGATGCCTCATAGGAGGCAATTCATAAATGAAATAAATAACAATAATGTATTTTACGAGTATTTTAAAAACTGGGGCTAACACATAAAAAGGAAGCTGGAGCGTTCCTTTCTTGGTGATGCAGCAATAAAACTGCTAGCACATTTGCAAAGCTAAGCAGGGTGTGGTATGGTTTCAAATGGGATGGGAGACCATGTGTTGAGATTCCTGCATTGCTGGGGGTTGGACTACATGACCCTTGGGGTCCACGCCAACTCATACTATCATTTCCTCCTTGTTGATACTTATCCTCCTCATTGGGCCCGTTGAACAATTCAACATGTGTCCAAAAATCCACATTCATCTCCCCCGTTCAGACAGCCCTTCATTGTGGAAGTTCAAGAGAGCAGTTCAACGCACTGACGCAGATTCCAACTCTAGCAGATTGAAAGAGATGAATACAGGCTACAAAGCAGTGGTTGAGGTACCTTTGTGCGAATCTAATTAGAAGAAGATTGCTTCTTAACTGGATTTTGATCACCTATGTCTCCCACAAAACACATTCAGTGCTAAAGGCATTATTGCAGTATTCTCTCTCTCTCTCTCTCTCTCTCCCTATATATATATATATATATATATAAAATAAGCCTGGTTCAATTCTGTTCAATCCATTTCGAAGTCTACAAGCAATTTTGAGTCTACAGAAATTATTGTCTTCCTTTGTTCTGAAACCTCTGAGTTAAACAGGTTTCCTTGTTGGGAGCATTCCTTTCAGTGTTCAGGAAGAAGGCTCACCACATACACCCCACTTTCTCCTAGCCATGGTTCTGGTGTGGCCCAGGTTA